CATGCAGGGTGGAGAAAAGTAAGCCCAGTGAACATCAAGTGGGAATCTAGATTTCAAAATATAAATATCAGGCATATCTTGGAGATTGCATGCAAACTCTGACAAATAATTTGATTTTCTGCATATTGGTTTTCTTAATTTGTCCTCTAAATACTTACATCTAATAATCATAGCAAGATAATTGTACTCGTGGCATTTAAAAACCAACGACTTGTTAAAGAAAATTATTTAAAAACATAAAGGAAGCTACCATAAATCAGATTCACAGGAAAAAAAATTTAAAAGACAGAGTACATGAAAAAAAGTTAAACATGAACAGAGAAAATACAATGACTACATAGTAAGTATACTGGAAGTTCAAGGACTTACTGAAAATCAAGAGTTAGACTTTTCATCCAAAGAGCCTTTTTCTCCCACCAAACGTCTAAGGTTTTCAGTACAACAGCCCAGGCCCCTCCCACCCCCCAAAGCCGGTGCCTTTTGTGCTGACCTAGAGTAGGGTTTGCGGGAACTGTACCTGAGTCGGGCTGTCTGCAATTTCCAAATTGACAAGAAGAAACTGGAAGATAAAGAGCATGTTCTTACAGGTGAAGAGCAACTTTGCACCTTTTCCAGGAGACACCCAGGAGAAAGCGTGCTTGCTACCAACTGCTGCAGTCTGGGCAGAATTCCTCTAGAAAGAAAAAGAAAGTCTTTTTTTTTTTTTTTTTCCAGTCTGCCTCTGTCTCTGGTTCTCTCTCTCTCTCTCTCTCTCTCTCTCTCTCAGATCCAATCTTTTAAGAGCTTCAGCACATTGCTAGCTAAAGAGAAATTCTCTTTGATAAAGCGATGTTTCCAGCTTCTGGGTTTTAAAACCTAAATCTATATTCAAATCTGGCTGAAGGTGTGTTCTGGGATTTATGAAAGCCTCTTAAAGGGGTAAATTTACCAAACCGTGACAAAATCATCACAATCTTACTTTAGACATCTGAAGTGGATGAGAATTTTAAAGAGACCCTTGTTTATTTAACACTGTCCATTTCCAACTCGTGGTATTTGGCCTCGCATTTCTGCGAAGTTATTAGACTGGAGGGCAAAGGAGAAGCGAGAGCGGTGTGCTCCGGGCGCTGCCAGGAAGAAGCCCTCCCACGCCCCACGGCGCCCAAATCCGCGGGTCCAAAAGAGCCTGTGGATTTCCAGGGAGGTTCAGTGGCTCCCACTATCGAAAACGTCCACATCGGTCTTGAGGGGTTTCCCAAGACACTGGACCCCAGAGCAAATAGCTCTCCCAATCTAAAATTTTTCACTTACTTTGTGGAGATCACAAGCGCGTGATCTGAAATTTCTCTACCCCACTCCACCCCAACTGACCCCAAGGCCTCCCTCCGGCCCTTCCGGTCCGCCAGACCATCACCGTCCATTTCCCTCTTTTCGTTCTTTGATGCTTTAAGCATCACTGTGATCAAACTGGGGGAATACTTTTTTCTCGCTGCACGAAGGAGGTTCTGGTTCAGGGGATCAGCGTGGATTTACCCTTCCTTCCCAGAAAGCACGGTGGTTCTGGCCAAGCGCTCCCAACGAGCACCTTGCAGGCCAGACCTCCTGCGGCATGTGTCCCCCACCTCAAATTAAGGCCTCAGGGGGCAGTCACCAGGTGTTTCAGTATAGTGGGGGCGGGGTGAGATAAAAAGGTCTGTATTCACCCTCCCCCCAGCCCCCCTGCCCAGGCCCAGGGCCCCCAAAGTCGCGATTCCTGGGAACGCGACAGGCAACGGGTGTCCTCGGACTGGAGCGGTCGCGGGGGGGCCGGGAGGAGCGAGGCAGACCCTGGGCCATTTGGGGGCTCGTGGGAACGCCGGGTCCTAAAGCTCTAGAGACACCTGCGAGGCGGCTGCGGCCGACGAGGACCCGTCTCCAGGCCAAGCCCGAGCCCGAGCGCAGCCCGGCTGCCTAGCGCTCGCCACCTCGTGCGCACTCCCGTAATTCGTTAATTGCTGTAAATCCCAAGGACGGCCACATTTGATTACACATACAGTATAAGAACCGACAACAAAGCGACGAATTAATTACCAACTTCATTAACATAGGTCCCCAAATTAAAGGCAGCGAGCTGTTTCTTTGGGCCCACTTGCCGCGGTGGTGGAGGTTGGAGGGGGGAGGGTGTTTGGAAGGAGATTTTATTTTTCTTTTCCAGCACCGAGCGTGGTGAGCGGAGAACGTCTTCTGCCCCCCCCCGCCCCACCCCCGCGGTTCCCTCTGCCTCGGGCGGTCCGCTGGTGCCCCCACCGCCACTCCGCCCAATCCGCTCCTGCTTTTCTAGGGACTCGGATTTGTTTGAAAGCTGTTGGGTCCGCTCTCCGTGCGGGGTTCGCTCTCCCCGGCTGGGGTCCCCTGGTGCCGACACTCTCCAGTCTCCGGGTTCTCAGCTCGGGTCTCGGGCCGCGCGGGCCGAGTTCGCTGCAGGGCCCGCCGCCGCAGGCGTTGAGTGGCGCTCCTTTCACCGCAGAAGCTCTGGCTGCAGCAGCGCGGGCCTCCCTCCCCGGTGTCCCGTCAACCCCCAGCTCACCCCCGCATCTCCCCTGGATGTCCCCAAACGGGCTCTGGGTCAGATTCGGGGCTCCTGCTCTTCGCAGCCCTCCCTGGCCTTCTCGAAAGTCTAAAAACCCTGCGAGGAACCGGGAGTCCGGGCCTCTCGCTTTGGGGACACGGCGATGTTTATAAGGCACAACGAGTGAAAGACACACTGAGTTTTGGAAAACAGTTTTGTTCTTGGACTTGCCTATCTTGTCTGTCTCTCGCCTCCCCTCCTGGGTCTCACGCCCGGGCCTCCTGTCCTTCCTTTACCCTCCCCGGGGCCCGCGGCGTGGTCCCACCCTGTTTGAGAAGGGCGCAGTCGTGTTTTTAAGCTGCAGTCTGATTTGCTTTCTGCATCTGACCCACACACACATTGCTAGCGAAGAATTCGACACCCGAGTCAGCCCCCACACTCCCTCCTCTCCAGCCGTTACTTAAATATTTTTATCTTCCAATCTTACATTGCATGGGTTTCCTTTCTCCCCTTCCCTAAAACAAAAACAAAAACAAAACAAAGAGGGGGGCAGTAAAAGGGAGGACAGGAAGAGGAGGAGAAGGTGAGGCAAGGCCTCCCTGTCCATCATTTTAATTACACAGTTAGTTCACATGCTCCGACCCATAATGGATATTTTAAGCGGAGCCCGATGTCTTTTAAGAACATTCTGGTAATGTCGGAGGCCTGGATCTGCTGCCCGTTCGTCCCCCCGGTGCAGCAGCGGCCTGCTTCCTCCCCCTGTTGTGTGTTTTTATTATTTTCCCTCTGGCTTAGATGTGTCAATCATTCTCTCCCTGCCATTGGTTGGAGAGTTTGCGTCAAAAAAGTTGCCAGAGAGGCGCTTTCTCAGCAAATCTCCTTGAGAGCGGAACCGACCTCAGCTCCAACGCAGCCTCCACTGTTATTAAAAATAAAAATCGCTAGAGCAGCCTCACCTCGTCTACTTTGTATGTATCGCAGAGGGGCCCACGCGCGTTTCGAACTAGAGCTACTTTTCTCCTTTTCTGTTGTTAAATTTTTTTTTCGTTGTGTTTGCCGTCTTATGGAAGGGTGAAGACTGAAGGTTTATAACTCAATACTCTTGATTTCTTTTAGGATAGCTGGCTATTTGGAATTTTGAAGGATAATTTGATTTTTTTTCTAACCTTCTATGCGGCTGTAAGGTAAGTGTCTGTTTGTGTAGTCTGTCGGTCTGAATCCATATCTTTACGTCCCTCTGTCTCCTACCATCACCCCAGTATCTCCAATAGATCCATCGATGCGCCTCTGCAAATGTGGATTTCTCCTAAAAGCTGGTGTATATTTTCCCTTACACATCCTGAGGTGTAATAACGATCATTGTGAAAAATGTATGGCCTGGGGCGGAGGGCAGGAGTGGAGAGAAGGGAGGGAGGGCGCCCCTAGGCTCGCCGCCTCTGCAAAACATCGTGGAATCCGTGTGAGTCTAACGCGGGGCATTTTGGAGCGTTTTTGTTCTGGGCGTTGTTTCATGTCAACGCCCATTCTGAGCTTCTCCCGGAGATCTTTGCATTTTGGCCCTCAGCTGTGTTTGGGTCATTTGGGTTGATCCCAAGGACGTTTTCAGAGCCCGAGACAAAAAGATGTAGATATAGATAGAGGGGCGGACAACAATAACAACAACAACAATGCAGGCACTTCCCGGGGCCCGCGCGCCCCAAGGCTGCCTCGCCGGTGCGCGCGCGGGTGGCCGCCGCTCGAGCCCGTTGCGGCCGCTCCAGCAGAGCGGGGCGGGCAGCGGAGGAGTCGAGAGGGCCGGCATCTCCTGTCTGTCCCTCTTACCAGCCAGGAACAGCTCACCAAGCTTCGCTCCATTTTCGGCTTCTTCCAAAGGCTGCCAGGTCTCCTTTTTCCTTTTGAACACTTCCCTCCACCCCAACCCCGCCCTTCCCCCCAAAACACCCTGGGAGTGCAGTACCCTCTCCCACCTCAACGCCTTGGTTGTTACGGTCCCAGACGCGGCCTCCAGGCCGAGCAAACGTAAAAGGGTCGTTTCACAGCCCCACTTTGCCGTGCACGGTTCAGGGTCCGCCAGGGCATCCCTCCGCGCTCACCTGGGGCGGGCAAAAGTGACGGCAAGTGGCCCCTGCTCCTCCCCAGGCCGCGGGGCCCGGGACGTGAACCCCTTCCTTGGGAAAGGCGGCCCCTCGGCTGTTCCGAGACCCGGGCAGCGACGAGGCTGGCTCGCGTGCTCCCCTCCCAGGTTTGGCGACAATGGGGTGTCTTGGGCCCTGGCTGGGGCTGCGGGACACACTAAGGCCCGGCCGCGGCTCGCGGTCTGCCCTAGGTGAACCGTCAGAAAGTCTCGGCCGACCGCCGGACTCGGCGCCGAACTCCGAAGGAGTCTCCGTGTGGATGCGTTCAAATGACTCTTGAAACCGCGGTCCGATTTCAGGACCGATTTTTGAACCCCAAGTGGCCCAACAGAATTCCATCCAGCTGCCTCACGCCCTCCCCCACCCCCTCGCTTTGCAGTGGGGCGAGGGAGAGAGAAGGCCTGGGGCCCTGGATCGCCGGGGAGGGCGCGGAGGTCGCTCTCCGACGCTCTCCCTCCCCCCGGGGGCCTCGGGCGAGGCTTCCTCCCGCTCACCTCGGGGCGCTTTCGCGTGGCCGGAGCGCGAGCCGGGAGAGGGGTTGGCGCCGAAACTCCTCCCCCCGGAGGAGGTGGACACTCAGACCTCTGCTCTCCGACCAGCGCCGGCTCTCTCCCCTCCGTAATTAATAGTCAAGACCAACCCTTCTGGCACGTTCTTCCTCCGTCCTCCCTCCCCGGCGGGTGGCAGCCGCGTTTGATTCCCCGAGGCCAGAAACTTTCACTCGAGTTCTCCGAGCAGAGGCCGCGCCGGCTGCGCCGCGCGGCGCCCCCGCGTCTCCCTTCCCTTCGCCCGCCGCCTTCCTCTGCGCCGTGTCCCCGGTCGCAGGCCGGCCGCCAGTCCGCGCAGTTTTGTCTCCTTTCCATCAGGCAGAAAATTAATCGGCCCCGGCGAGAAGCAGAGCTGAGCGCGGCGGCCGGTAATTAAGGGACGTGTGCCCCTCGGATTATCTCGTTAGTTTATCAAGAAAACATTTATTATAATTAATTCTCGGACGAGGTAATTATTATTGAGCGAGGACACAGCAACTGGTAGAGAGGCTCCTTGAAGGGGGGGGCAGGCCGTGGGGGGAGGCGTGGGGGGAACGACAGATTGCACGGATTGACCGTTAGGTGGAAGGCGGCGCGGGCCGCGGCGGGCAGTGGGGCCGGACCTCGGGCGGCGGGGCAGCGGGGCGACCGGGCTGAAGCCGGCCGCCCGGCGGGGAGGCCCGCCTGAGCCTCCGCGCCCGCCCGGGGATGCGCGCGCCGCCCCGCTGCGGGGACACGCCGCGCGGCCGCCGCTTGCTCCTTGTAGGTAGGAATGCTCCGCGGCCACTTCCGAGCGGGCGTTCTGAGGCTTCTATTCTAAAGAAGGTATTTCTGTTTCCTCTTCTCGGGCTCCGCTTAGAGAAGAAGGGCGAAAAGAGTCCTTGCCAGGCTTTGGAAGTTGCATGAAAGGGCCCGTGCCCTCTCGTTTTTGGATACCCAGGCTGGCTGGGGAGAGCGCCTCAGTTTTGTTTCTGGAGTTTATTTTTCTTTTAAAGATGAATGCAGTGAAAGAGCGAGAGCAGTCCATCCGAGCATTTTAGCCACTTCTGGTGGCAAGGGCACCAAAGGAGCGCCCAGGAGGGTCGCTGCCCGGTGCTTTCCGTCCGCGCCGCGGCGAGCCGCAGGCAACGCTGCCGGGCGCGCGGGGCATCTCCCATTGGGCGGGCGCCCTGCGCGCACCAGCGGGTCCTTCCTAGTCGTCCTGTGTGCATTTGGTGCTATTTCAGGTTTTTCCGCAGCAGCTCAGAACTTTCCGATGCAGTGTGACTGTTTTAAACGAGAAGGAACTCCAGCTTAGAGGCTATTTAAACAAATAAATGACTTTACTTTAAAGCAACATGGTTTCTACAGACTCCAAATAACTGTCTTGAGAAGAAACTAGAAAACTTCAAGTCTTTGTTGTCGGAATAACTAAAGTAGAACTACTGATGGGATAATACAAACTCCTCCGAGAAGGACATTTACAAAATTATCTTAAATTACGTCTGAGGGTGGAAAGTACAATTTTTGTACTATGACTTTAAATCAGGGAGAAGTAAATAAATAAATAAATCAAGCAGTTACAGGAACCTAGGTCCATTTGTGGAATTTTGGGGTCTCTCTCTTAAGCAATGTGAATATGAAGACCCAGAGTCCTTACAAAACCTTTGCAAAAGTGAGAGGGAACTTCTGATCCCGCGTCCGCCATTTTGAGGCAAACTCTCAGAATGTCAAAGTTGCAAAGTAGAGATCCTTGCGGGATAAGTGCCATCTATTAGAAAAATAAAAGCCAGACTTGCCGACTGCCAGCCGATATTAGCATCCATTTTGGATCCCTTGGCTTGGGGTAGTGAGTGAGAGACACTCAGCTGAAGCAAGCAAACAACTTTTTCTTCCCTTCTCTGTTCTCCCTGAGCTCTTTCTCGGGTAGGGTTGTGGGAAGCTTGAAAGTCCGGAGAAATGCTACTAGTTTCACAACTCGGAGTGTTTGTGTGTCTGCTTTCTTCGGAACTAAAATGTGCAAAAGGCAGTTAGAGGTGACAGGGAACCGCTGCAGCTGCTGAGAGCCCGAACGCCCTAAAGTCTGCCTCCCACCCGACCTGCAACCTCCACGCATCCAACTCAGCGTGGAAGGAGCTTGCGCCCCAGATGGGCACCCTTCTTCCTTCCTCCAGATGCGGGGCCACTCACTTATTTTCTGATCGATGGGATTCTAACCTTACTTCAGAATTCCTACCAAACCCTGTTCCAGTCTTGAAGATTTTTCTTGCACTGTTTAAATATTTTGTGGGTGTCGATGAAAAGTTAAATGCTTGTTTATTTAGCTTTAGTTCTTTATACACATATAATCAAGGTTCTCCAGAACACTAATAAATCTGTTACCTCAAAATCTAATTACCCAGACTACTAATTGGGTGAAAATGATGGCTGGAAATGACTTTAAATGTGGAATAATGGTGGCTGAGCCGTTTTCTCAAGTTTGTCGATTAGCAAGTTGGCATCTTAAATGTTAAATGCACTGACATTTTAGGCTCGAAGCTGTTGTAAGTGGTAAAAAAGCTAAGATAATTAAAATCTGCCTTGGAAAGGCAGCAGTCTGGGGAGGTAGATTTCTTGAATTGTTTCTTTGTTTCTCACCAGTGGGCTTTGTTATCAGCATTATTTATTTAGCCAAAGAGTTCTTTGTCTCTGCAAATGGCCCCAATCAAGTTTTGTTTGAGACAATTAGCTAGTGCCAGCCAATGAGTCCTATGCAAATGTGGGGATAGGAATGCAATGTGTGCATTTGAAGGCGTGGGGTTTTGTTCTTCGGGGAAAGCAGATTGTAATTGCTTTCTTCGGTACTTTTTTTTTTTTTTTTTAAGTTTAGGGTGGGGGTGGGGAAAACGGGTTTATCTCATCTCCATCTCTTCCAGATTCTGAGCAGCTGGGGGGTTGGGAATGTAGGGAGGAGGGTCCGCAAGCCCTTTAAAAAGCCTCTGCCTGAGTTAGCCCGGGCTTTTTGAGCTGGTGGTGAAACGAGGAAGAGGCTGTGTGCCTCCTTAGCAGTAAGCCAGCACCTCTGTTTGTTTGTTTGCTTTGCCCGCAGTTCCACGGCTCCAAACTCACCCACCAAGGATCTGAATCTGCCCAACCCGGGCGAAGCGAGACCTTCTGGCTGGGTCCCCCCGATTTGGGCCGACTTTGCGCCTTCTAACAACCTTAGCATGATGTCTTATCTTAAGCAACCGCCTTACGCAGTCAATGGGCTGAGTCTCACCACTTCGGGCATGGATTTGCTGCACCCCTCGGTGGGCTACCCCGGTAAGTGAGCTCCGCGGCCCTCGTGCCCCGCCCTTCCCCACGCCGGCCCCCGGGGGGAGTTGACACCCTTAACCCAGGGAGCCCCGAGCTGCCGGCCATGCTCCCCCCTGCCCCAGCTCCAGGCGAAGTCTGGAGTTTTCCTTCTGAGAAGCATCTCAAAGCCACCGGGCTTTTGCTGGCGGAGGAGAGGATCGGGGCTGAAGGGAAGCGAGTAGACGGGTCTACAACGATTGCACAAAATCCTATCTCTGAGAAGGGGACAGGCTGGAGTGGGGCGAGGAAGGTTTCTGTTCTTGCCATTTGGGGGTGACAGGCCCCTGCCCATCTCCTGAAGCCTATTCCCCGGGAGCCCCTCTGCGTCGCACACAGATTCTCCCCACCTGGCCCGGGGCTTCCCCTCTGACCTGCAGACGGTACGCGCTAATCCCTACAGGTCATTTACCGCGGGTGCGGGTGCCTGCCTTCTCGATGAGATGTTTTTTAAAGTCCTCGAGAAGCATGAAATATGCCCCCATTTTAAAGACCCTTGGATCTCCAGCGAGATCGAGATTCGCCCTCCTAATCAATCCGAGCTGCTGGTCCTCAGGGATCCTTTGACTTTAAGATTTTTTGTTTGTGTTATTCTTTAGGGGTTGCTTTTGGAGGCTTTTCGCTTTGTTGTTTTGTTTTATATTCCTTTTATTTCATTTGTCTTGGTAGCTTTCAAAGGGAGGCTCTGGCTGGAGGGATACCCCAGGTCAGGCGGAGTGGGGGCTCCCCGCGAGGGGCAGTGTGTGTCCGGAGACCTCCAGCGCGCGCTGGAGGAGCCCCGGCTGTTCGCCCGGGCTGCGGAGGGGGATGGGGGGGAAACAGTGCTGAGTCTGGGCTGGAAGGCTGGGAGGATCAGGGGGGGAGGGCTGCGCGGTGGGGGTGGGGGAGTCGGGGCACCCGCAGAGACCCCTGTGACTGAGAAACTGCTCCCCCACCCTAAAGGGCCCTGGGCTTCTTGTCCCGCAGCCACCCCCCGGAAACAGCGCCGGGAGAGGACGACGTTCACCCGGGCCCAACTAGACGTGCTGGAAGCGCTGTTTGCTAAGACCCGGTACCCAGACATCTTCATGCGGGAGGAGGTGGCATTGAAAATCAACTTGCCTGAGTCCAGGGTGCAGGTAGGGCGGATGTAGATAGACCCTCTATCCTGACAGCGTCACCCCTGCCCCGAGCTCAGTGTGTGTTGGATTCTGGAGTCGGGCCCTGGGGAAGACCAAAGGAAGGTTTGAAACTTAACTCTCCATTGGAGGCCACCAAACTCTTCTCCTGAGGCTCCGAGCTCCCGATTTCCCAGGGAGCTCCCTTCTGCCCCTCCACCCCCATTCAATCCAATAAACAAGGGTCTCTGGGCTCAGGTTGCAAACGAAGCAAATCCCAGTGATAAGGCACAGTCTTCGGACTCTTGGGTACCTGGCCTGTGGAGGGCCCAGCCTTGGCAGATTTCAAGAACTATCACACAAAATTTTAATACTTCCCTTCTCCTGTGTAGAAATCCTCCCCCATCCTTATCCACTTTTAAGGGTGAAAGAAGCTTAGCAGTGGATAGTCTCAATATTTTTACAGATGAAGAAACAGTAAATGACTGGCTCAAGGTCACAGGTCAGTTGGTAGGAGAGCCAGGCTGTAGAATCAGCTGGTACTGTGACCAGAGAAACCACAGGAGTATTTTCTTTGACTTTTTATAGATTGAACAGAATTTCCTAGCTCTGAGCCATATCTACATAGTATCCCTGGTGACTTGACCTTACACAGAGAAGGAAAAGTAGAGTCTAATTTTTCTGGAACTCCGGCCCATACAGAGGTCTCCGGAGGAGGGTTTAGGGCCTAAACGGCATATGCAACAGCCTCCTCTCCTTCAGCCTTCAGGACACAGCAGCGTGAACTGAAAACAGGGACAGGGCTTCTTCAAAATAGGATGGAAGAAGTTTTAGCACTTGTTAGGTCTGAGCAAAAGTTTTCACTGAAAAAAAAATAGGTGATTTGAATGGTTGCTGGTGTTGCCCTCAGCCTTGGTGGTACCATGTTTACCGCGGTAGGGTGCCCATGTGGAGAGTTCATGGAACAGCTAAGGACTGGTTGCCTAGAAAACCCTGGTAGTTTGTTGGATAAGTCCCTCCACAAACTGAACACAGCTCCTTCATTATAGAACATGGACAGGGCTGGGAAAAAGTATTTTCAGAGTTGCGAGTGGGAACTAAACTGTGTGCTGAGTGGCACGAGCTTGAAGGCACAGACTCTAGCCCCACCCTTGAGACTGGCAGCGAAGTCTGTCCTTGAGCTCAAAGCAGAGTATACCTAGTCACTCCACGTAGGACGTTCCCACCAAGAGTGGCTTTCAGGCCTCCTTCCTCACAGGACCACCTCTTGGAGCTTTCTTTTGTAAGTGGGTCTAAGAAAGACAAACGTAGAGTGATGAAACCAGTCTCCATATCAGCAACTGCTCCCTAGAAGATGGACTGCAAGCTGTTTGAATTCCTGCTGTTCTTGTTGGCATGTCATAACAGAATTGTTTTCCCTCCCTTGCGTTTTCCTCCAGAACATGTAAATATATCCCACTCCATTGTGAGAGTGTTCCAGAACACACCTGGGTCTGTGTATGTGTGTCGGAGGTGAAATAACACAGAAGAGTGAGGCGGAGAACTTTTAGTCATATGATTTGGTTGGTTATCGTAAGTTTTATTCTGACCCAGAGGTTAGGTGTAAAACAGGGTCAAATGCTTTTAGACAGAGCGTCCCCAAGTTTTTGACGATTGCAGGCACATATATAAGAGTACTGTGATATGATAGGTTTTCAGTGGCAGGAGAGATAGCTTGGCTGTCCTTGTAGGATAGATTGTAATCGTGGAGTGACTCTTGCTCTTAAGGAGTTGTTGAAACCGTGCTAAGGAAGTTTCTTTCTGTTTCAAGGTGTGGTTTAAGAATCGAAGAGCTAAGTGCCGCCAGCAGCAGCAGCAGCAACAGAATGGAGGTCAAAACAAAGTAAGACCTGCCAAAAAGAAGACCTCTCCAGCCCGGGAAGTGAGTTCAGAGAGTGGAACAAGTGGCCAGTTCACTCCCCCCTCTAGCACCTCAGTCCCAGCCATTTCCAGCAGCAGTGCTCCTGTGTCTATCTGGAGCCCGGCTTCCATCTCCCCACTGTCAGATCCCTTGTCCACCTCCTCTTCCTGCATGCAGAGGTCCTATCCCATGACCTATACTCAGGCTTCAGGTTATAGTCAAGGATATGCTGGCTCAACTTCCTACTTTGGGGGCATGGACTGCGGATCTTACTTGACCCCTATGCATCATCAGCTTCCCGGACCAGGGGCTACGCTCAGCCCTATGGGTACCAATGCAGTTACCAGCCATCTCAATCAGTCTCCAGCTTCTCTTTCCACCCAGGGATATGGAGCTTCGAGCTTGGGTTTTAACTCAACCACTGATTGCTTGGATTATAAGGACCAAACTGCCTCGTGGAAGCTTAACTTCAATGCTGACTGCTTGGATTATAAAGATCAGACATCTTCGTGGAAATTCCAGGTGTTGTGAAGACCTGTAGAACCTCTTTTTTGTGGGTGATTTTTAAATATACTGGGCTGGACATTCCAGTTTTAGCCAGGAATTGGTTAAAAGAATTAGATGGGATGATGCTCAGACTCATCTTCTGATCAATGTTCCAGGAAGCATAGACGGAAAAAGGAAGGTCCTTAGAGGGGCCCACCAACCAGCAACCTGAAACGGACAAACCAATCTACTTAAGATCCCATCATAGTTTTAGATCATTGGTTTTCCTGATTCTCAAAGTGACCAAAAGCATTTTAGCCATATGCAACCAAACACCACCAAAAAGAAAACTAAATTGAGAGGAAAAGGAGGGTAGGACATAGCCTTCTTAAGCAAAGGTGTTCCAATGCTTTAGCCAATCCTTGGTTGAATCTTAGGAATGGACAGTGTCTCAAGCTCACTCACGTTTCATGACCAACTGTTAGTTGGCACTGAAAACCTTTTCAGGGCTGTGTGAATTGTGCGACTGATTGTCCTAGATGCACTACTTTATTTAAAAAAAAATAATGTTCATAAGGAGTCAATATGTAGTTTAAGAGACAATCAGTGTGTGTCTTATATAAATGGTACATCTGTGGTTTTTAATCTGTGCTAGACTTCAAAACTGTGATCTGTTATTGTATGCAACCTTGAACCCCATCTCTGCAGGGGTTCTTCTGTGATTAAATAGGTTATAATTATAAGCAAAATTCAGAGCAACTGAGTACTTACCTAAAAAATTACCTTTGGCTGGAGGTGAGCTGCACTGAAACTTGACAACAAAATGTGTCTGGACAAGTAGAGTAAGAGAAGAGAAACAAAAGGACACTAATTCGTCTGTAATTTACTGTTGGTCAGCCTAGCAGTGAAGAGACATTGGTCAATTGCTCTGACCCTGGTGAAGTTATAAACTGAGGTCATTGTTGTTTATGCTTGCAGATATTAACTGGAAAAGTTATATATGCATAAACCTTTTTCCCTGGATTTGGCAGATATGTATAATTATATTAAAATGGTTCTAGCACAACATTGGGTCCAGTTTAATTTTAATACAATTTATGAATAAGAAGCCCCCAAAACGTGTTTTTCTTAGGTCAGGGAGCAGACTTATTGTTAAATTTCAGGGTTCTAATCTGAGGATGGAGTAGATGTGAATGACTGGTACGGAAACTTTTTGTGACTTTGATCAGCGTGGCTCTGAAATTGAATATAGAAAGGCCAGCAATCATTAGGCTCTTGCCCTCCTCGCCTTCCCCTCCCTGCCACAGACCCTAATGGCTTCTTAGGCATTTTATTAATATGTTTTAATATAGATCAGTGTTTTGAGCAAAAAGGGAAGAACTGTAGTACCTCAAAAAAAAGAGAATGACAAAAATTCTGTGTTTTTTTCCCTCATATTTGATTAAGGGGACTTTTTCTAACTTTCAAAAAAATCTGAGGTAAACATGAGAGCGAGTGTAATCAGAATCTGAAAGCAATTCAGGCAGAAATGATTTCTGAACAAAAGAGTTTCAGAAAAGTTTTAAAACCTATAATTTCAGTAGATGAACATAAGGCACTCTGGTCAGTTTTTTAGAAAGTCCTGAGAGGGGAAAAAATAGGTCCCTTTCAGCTGTACCTGCATTTTGTAAGCCAACCACCAGAAAACACAAATGGTCCCTCGGGTCAAAGCAATATTTAATTTCATTTTAAACTTATGCTCTTTAAGTTTGACCAAAGACAAGTGACTCTGGATTGTAACTACATAAGTGAAGGTTAGCAGTTTCAACCACTTTGTTTTCCGGCTATGTAATTTCTTCCGGTCCTCAGCTAGCGTGCTCTCTTGGACCATACATCATGCCTAATCATTGTTTTTTTACTAAAAAAAAGAAAAAGAAAAAGAAAAAGTCACACATAACACCTGTAGGCAAAACCTGATGGCAAGATTTTCTAGTACCTACTGATAACATTCACCCCATGGTTTACACCAAGGTGGCGTCCTGGCAGAGAAAGAATTTGCTTTACGGTTTTCCAGGCTCTGGATCTTATGTTCCCAGTTTTTCTCATGCCACAGTCAAGCAGACCCAAAATATCTTCTCACACTGCCTTCGGTTTTCAGGATGCCTGGCAAAGTGGCGAGGGCGGGGGTGGGGTGGGGAGAATCACCCCCCCCCTTTAAAACAGTATTGCCAAACAATGGAGACTGCAGTTCGCAGTTTTCCCCCTGATACTTTTTTTTTAAGGGGGAGGTGAGGAAAAGGCGCTGAGCACCCTCCAAAATGAACTTTCCACCTCGTTCTCACAGCTTCATTTAACCAGCAGTGAAGACCCTCAGAGCAGAGAGAGTGGAGACCAACTAACGCCCGGCCCAGGCCGCGGGCGGGGGCGGGGGCTGCGCGGGCAGAAGGAGGAGCACTCCGCTCGCGGGCATGGCTCGGTGGCATGAAGTTAAGGTCAATCTTGGTGGCTGGTGTCGAAAAGACGCCGTCCCGCAAAGGTATCAGGACGGCTTCTTCCACCGCATATCGACCATAAGCAATGAAGGGAAATAGCAAGATAATCTTCGTTCCGAGGGGAGAATGCGGTAGTTCGCTTTACAAAGACCTGTGGCTCCAAAGTTTATCTTCCCCACAGAGATTGTGGGCCCTTTGTGTTTCACCTGGGAAATGTCTCTTTACAGATAACAGAAAGTCGGTTAAGTTCTGCCTTTCTTTCGAAACCCGTGAGTCCGAAATAATGGCCAGCCTCCGGCGTTCCTGCAGCACCAAGTTCCCTCCGACCTCACCTTCCCGGTTGACCTTGCCTGCGCGCGCTGGGCCGCCTACGGGGACCTGGCGCAGAGGCGCGGGCGGGTCGGTCCCTCGGCGGGTGCCCCCCTCTACGGCCCGCTCAGACCACAGGCCAGCGGGGGCCACGTTAGCCCTCCGGGTTCCCCTCTCTGATCTGGCGGCGGCTCTGGTCGGAGCCTCCGGCCTAGTCCCGAGGCCTCGAGCATGACTGCCGCTCACCTGGGCCCAGGGCACCGTGGCCCGCGCAAAGGTCCCAAGTGCCTCAGCCCCCGAGAGGAGCTCGCGTCCTCCCGCCCTCAAGTCGGGCTCTGAGTCAGGCGCGGGCAGTTGGGGGGGGGGGGGGAGGGAGGCCGGCCGGGGTGTGCATGGGTAAGGGCCGGCCAAGAGGCCAGCACGAAGGAGGGAAAGAAAGGCGAGACCAAAGGGGAGGATAGCTGGACGCACCGGGGGAGGCGGCGAAGAGGAGATCCAGGTAGTGTGCCCCGGCCTCGCGGCCTCTTCTTCCCCTGTCTCCCGGGAGGAAGTGCCGCAGACGGCAAGGTCTCCTACCCGCTGAGAAGGGGAAGACCGCTGCTGCCACAGCAGGGACTCCCACCTCGTCTGCGGCCTCCAGTGTCCAGGGCGGACTTGGCACCAACACAGGGTCCAGGTGGGCCTGCCTGGGGTCCCCCATACGTCCCCCCAGGAAAGCCAGGTGCTTCGGCTGGTGGGCCTGGGGGTGTGATTCTTGGATGTTGCACCTTCCCATGGGGTCCTGGACTTTGATCTGGGTTTTCAGGCGATACCTGAAAAATCTCGTACCCTCGCTCATCCCTTCTCTCCTGGCCCTCTATACTTCTTAGTTTAACCCGAGTGATGTGGCTTTTTTTTGGGGGGGGGGCACCCAGCATAGCACTAAATGGCCTTGAAAGCTGTATGTCGGTTCTGGAACAAGGCAATGGTGCCTTTGGTGCCCTGAGAGCGCCCAGCAGCCCATTCCGGTTACTTGCAGGAACCAGGGCACAACTGTGTGCCCGCCCCTACTTAACCAGAAGCGGGCGCTCCGGCCGCCAGCCCCTGCACACACACCACGTGCTTGAACCCGCTTCTAAAACCGGGTGACAACTTCTCCGTGTTAACTGCACAAGCTGTAACCCAAAACCAGGCGTGCCCGTGTTAGGTGGTGGTTTACTGCACCCAAAAATGTGTTTTAATCATCACAAAAGAGAAACACAAAGAAGCCAGGCAGCAGAAACAGGCTTCCCAGCATCTCACACAAATGAAAGTTGGAGTCAGAGAAAACCACCCAAATGGGAAGGTGCAGAGTGGGGCTCAGCCATGAGCTCAGACTATTTCCTTGCCTTCCTTTGAGACATTTAGGAAGGAGAGTTCTGCATCTTTCTCTCCATTTCTCTCTCTCTCTCTCTCTCTCTCTCTCTCTCTCATTCTCTCTCTCTTTCTGCCCACAAAAGGGTTCAAACCCTAGTCATGCATCTGCACGCCCAGATTTGCAGCCAGTGCCTTGCACATCTGTTTTTCTCCTCAATGGCCAGCACCCTGTAAGCGAAGTGTGCCCTGATAAAACCTGGTCCCTTAGTTGACTCATTTCCACCCTTGGGTCAGCGTGCTAGGAAAGATGGGGAGCCCCTGGGACTTTCCCTTGGGATGGAGAGAGCAAGTCCCCAGACAAAACCCACTCCAGTGTTTTTTCGGTATTAGACTCTGCAACTGCACAGATTATGGGATTTGTCTCGGGCAGAATTAACACTACATGTGAGACCATAGTGCTCTGGCTTATTGAGACACATATTGTTTAGGATTGCTTGGAGCATCTCTTCCAAACTGCCTGTTCACAGCAACAGGAGACCTTAAAATAATATGCGGGTTTTTGTTTTTAACCTAACTAAAACAAAATTTAGGCACTCTTTGGAAAGGGCAGTTTTTCCAATAGAAACAGTCGGAAGGCAACAGAACGCAGTGCAGGAACTGGAGGAAGCTTCTGGATGCAAAAGTGGCTGGAGAGAAGTAAGCAGGCATGCCTTTGAAAGACGTCTATCCTGCAGCAGCTCCTACAAGCACAGGGGGTGCCCCCAGCTCTAAAAAGAATCAGCTACCCCGCCTCTCTTGCAAGCAGTGTGCTTTATATTTAAAAACCAACCTGCTCTTGACTGCAAACAAACAATAAGCAAATTCAAATAAAGGAGTCCTACCAAGTCCAACCCATTTGCTCAAAGATACCTGCAGGGGCTATCAGGCTATCACGAGGGGGAGGGTCAGCTGCAAATTTTGTCTTTCTCCTAAAGGAAAAGTCAAACAGCATGAGGTCTAGGACTCACTTTTATTCCTTAGTCTCCCCCACCCTTTAGTTCAACTCTCCGTGTAAGGAAACACGGTATTTGGGGTTGGGAAGACACAGAGGAAACATAAGAGAGCCCCACAGCAAATATCACTGTAAGTAGTTGAAGTCTGAATTGACTTTTGTTGCAGCACCACAAGGAAAAAGAGCTGCCCAAGAATCAGATGGGCTCCTCTGCCTCTCTCTCCAGTGTCTTTGCCTCAGTTTGTCCACTATGGAGGTGGTGAAGGGGCCTTTTGGATTAAGGGTTTCTTAAACTACTTGACATCAGGAGGAGCCACTTCCAGCTGAGAGCTTCTTTAAAAATAAGGTGCCAGTTTCTAGCAACTACATGGCTGCCAACTTCCCCCACCTGAATTGCCGATGATGGGGCCAGCAAATGCCGCCTTTGGGGGCCAGAGGAGCAGCAGTTACTGCGCCCTGCAGGTCAGTCTGCTCCCCTTCCATCCCGGGTTCCCGAGGTAAAGGCTGGAAAGTTCCCTTCAGCCACAGTTGCTGGGTGGAGTTCTCCCTTAGGCCCTGCCCTCGATTTCCCTACTGGAATTTCCAGAGGCCTGAGGCTACAGTGAAACCTGAAAATCATTCATCCCAACTTACAGTTGTTAAAAACTGTTCCTGGAACCAGTAGTCTTATTTTAGGCACATGGGCCATTAATGAAAATCTCCTTAACATTCAAAATGGCTCTAAAATACGTTGATAGCAGATTAGTGGGGCCTAATGGACACCGTGTGTGATAACACGGTCCCCGAGTGGCGAGGTTCTGGAGTGGGAGCCTGGCCACAGCTGCCTGGTTATCCGCTTACAGCCCAACCGACCACTTTTAAACTGCAACGCTCTTAAGGAGAGGCGTCCTTCCCGACGCCGGAGCAAGAGACTTCTGTGTTCTTCATTTGACCGATTTAACAACCTCAGT